ATGTATGTTTAAGGAAATGGCTTTGTTTCCCTGCACACCCTCCGAGTGGTGTGGCATTGACTCCCGTCTCTGGGACATGGTGTGCCAGTGTGGCGAGACCCAGGGACAGATGACCTTCATTAATGGTAATCAGATGTCGGACGAGACGTTAACTGTGGCCGCATCATCGACAGGCTTATGCTTGTTCCATGGACCCATCTCTAAAGCATGACAGGATTCTACTATTATTGGACATATTGCGAATCTACGGGCGACTCAGATCCCTAATTTAGAGACACAAGCGCTCCTGCCCGCGATGGGGGCAGCCCGGGAGTTGGGGCACCAACAAGGGCTCATCACTGCTGAAAGGAGCGCCTGAATATTGATTACGCTAACGCCGTTGCGGACGTGCAGAATCGGAATGCTCAGCTTAACTCGCAGGTTGAGGAGGCGCATATTAACCTATCGGTGAGAGAATCCAATATCGCCGGGGCCGGCAACCAGGTCCCAGAACTACAACGGCAATTGGAGGCCGCTCACGCCCAATTACGGGAGCGCGAATTCAACTTGGGAAGGCTCACGGGTCAACTCCAGGAACGGGAGGCACGCCATAATGCACAACAACCCGCGCGGGACGCGGAGACGGCGGAGCGGGACGAGGCCCCCGCTACTCGACGCGTTGCCAACGGTGGCGTATCTACACTACCGCATCAAACGAATATCTTGATGGCTGGAGGCGTGCCTAGCAGCGCGGCCCGACACAGTTCGGCGGCTTACAGACTCCCTCACGGCAATGTTGGGAGACCACATTTCCACCCTTCCACGCCGTTGCCTTCCCGCACTTCTCCCCTGGAAGCCCAATTACCTATGGAAGAGGACCGCAGTTTCTGCGCATTCGACGTCACCACGTGGCCCACGCGTACATAGAATGAGGGAACTTCCGGAGTCGTTTTCGACCTCCGGTGCGCATACCAATGCTGGCAAAAGGAGGACGACGAGCAGGTTAAACTTGCCTTTGACAATTTGGTCGAGTGGATCGGCGTGCTGGAAGGCGGGCAGGATCCCACCGATCGCTTCATGAATTTGGGGAGGTCCCTACTGAATACATTCCGGAGGCAGCTCACGATTGCGTTCGATCCCGGCATCCGGCTCTCCAAACTGCGCGCCCGTCTTTACACCGCTGTTCACCAGACGGACACCTATGCGAAGGCAGTCCAGCCTCTCGTCGATCGACGAGAAACCCAACGCACTGTGCGATGCCAACGATGTCATACCTATGGACACGAGGCATCTACACGCAACGTGCGCCCCAGAAGGAATTACTCACAATACAGGCGCCCGTCAAAAAACGGCAGTGGGGCTGCCGCACGCCGCTCAGGAATGCTGGCGACGGCAGCCACATCCAATCCGCCACCTCCCACCAATCCT